GACATCTTTAAGGATCAGTTAATAAGACTTGTCTGTTGAACTGGAGGAAGTTTTTTTATTTTATTTTTCATCCACTGAGAGTGGACGAGCTGTATGTCTTACTTACTCAAAAATTTCATAGTTTAATCTTTGTTTTTTTTAATTATAGCTGAGACCTCCTAGCAGAATGATCATGACAACATGGCTAAAATCTGTCATTTCATTTTGCATAAAGAACTAAAGATTTTTCAGAAGTGGTAAAAATGGAGGTGAATATGAATATTCAAGTGTAGTAGTTTGGTAGCAGAGAGTTATGAGCCATTTCAGAATCTTATTTTCCAACTGCTCAAAGCATGCATTTCCCTGAAGAAGTGTTCTTCCTCCCCTACTTAATACCCTATCCGTTATGCTAAATAAGTTAGCCAACAATTGCTCAGTTTGTGACTAAATGATTTTCTAATGCATTTATCTGAAGCAGAAGTAGGAGTTGCATGCTTAAAATTCCTAGGGAAGAGATATAAATTGATTCTAGGTGGCACATATTTTGGCTGTATGTGTTAATTACTGAATGAAGAAGCTCTTTAACAGTACTATTTACTGTAGATACTTTAGCATAAATAACATGGCATTTCCTGTACCACTCAGTAAAATTCTGGTGCATAAAAAAGGGGAGATACACATAAGGTTTTCCTGTTGACAAACCCACATGCTGCATATTGTTGTTCATGGTTGCTGTTCTAAATTTTTAAACTATCATGCATTTCTATATTGCAGTGTGAAGGAAAGGTCATACAAATACTCAGCTGTCCTTATAACATAAGATGCTTAGTGTATCTAAGCACTGATCATGAATGAAAGTTATTTTAGGTATTGGGGCACTAGATCTGTGAAGTTCCAGACAAAGACCAAAAGCTCCAAAGGTCTGGAGAGAAATGAATCTTCCATGGATTTGGCTAACATTTATCTGAAAATAAAGTGATAAATAAATAAATAAATTCTTTAAACCTTCTCAAGGCAAAGATATTGCGAGATCCAGTTAAAATGACCTTCGTTGATATCCTAACATTAGTGAAAAGTGGTAAGAAAACCTTAACCAGAACTGTCCTATCTTTTGGATAATTTTCCAAATCAGAGAGGGAAAATAACAAAAAAAGGGCTTGTTTTGCTTTGTAAATCCTTATAGAGGCTGAGTTGGTGATTTATTGGCAGATGAAATGTGTTGAAAAGCTTGACCGGAACAACCTTTTGGCATGATTAAGAAGGAAATGGCAGGTTATAATATCTGCAAGTTATCTGAGAAAGGGTAATATGCACTTATAAGAGAATGCACTTGGATAGGACAGATTGTAGGTACATGAGTGCTGACTTGATTTAGAAGAATTTTGCTCTATAATGAATTTCAGTAAATAACTACTTGATTGCAACAGAAAGCAGCATATCTGCTTATTGCAGAAAGTAATGTACTTCAGAAGGGTGTTTTTTATTACATTAACTTTATATTCTAATCTTTATATTCCAATCTTTATAATCCTTGATTTATATATCATTATCATTACTCACAGATACAAATTGTCATAGTATAAAAATTTGAAGCATACATTTATCAGAATAGGAAATTTGGCCATGTCCAGATTCAGGAAGTTTCATTGTGCAATTTTTCTGTTTCATGTGCCTTATGGTTAACAGTGGTTAACATCCAGTCATTGAAGCAAAACATATGATGCTATGTGAACATCATGCAAGAAAAACACAGTATTTTTATTTTCTGCTTCAGCATTTTATTTCTATATTTTATTTATTTGGTGGAGAAAGGTAATGGGATACCAGTGCAGCTCCAATGGAAAATAAATACCCTGTCAAGTATCTTTAACAATGTGCACTGCAGCTTGGAAAGCCAATGCTATCCTGTGCTGCATGAAAACAGAGGTAGCCAGCAGGTCAAGGGACATAACTGCCCCTCTATTCTGCCCTTGTGGGGCCCAATCTGGAACATTGCATCCAGGTCTGGGGCTCCCAGCGCAAGAAAGATGTGGAGCTTTTGTAGAGGATCCAGAGGAGGACCACAAAAATGGTTAGAGGGTTGGAGCTTCTCTCTTGAAAAGACAGTCTGAGGGAATTGGGCTTGTTTAGACTGGAGAAGAGAGGGCTTCAGGGAGACCACGTCATTGTGACCTTCCAATATGTAAAGGGAGATTATGATAAACAGGAGGGAATTCAACTTTTTACAAAGGTAGTTAGTGGTAGAACAAGGGGTGGAGTGGTTTTAAACTGAAAGAGGAAAGATTTAGATTAGATATCAGGGAAGTTTTTTCACAGAGAAGGTAGCAAGGTACTGGTACAGGTTGCCCAGAGAACAACCTGTTGTATGCCCATTTCCGGAAGTAAGTGTTCAAGGCCAGGTTGGATGGGACCCTGTGCAACCTGATCTAGTACTTAGTCTAGTGGTTGGCAACCATGACTACAATGAGGGGGGGGGGGGGGGGGGGGGGGGGGGGGGGGGGGGGGGGGGGGGGCATGGGTGGGGGGGGGGGGGGGGGGTGGGGGGGGGGGGGGGGGGGGGGGGGGGGGGGGGGGGGAGGGGGGGGGCAGGGGGGGGGGAGGGATTGAATCCTGATGATCTTTGCCTTCCAACTCAAGTCATTCTGTGATTCACTTAGGCAAACATGAGGATTCTAAGCATGAGGATTGCTTAGATTATTGGTACTGTAAGCACAAGACATGAAGTAGTAAGGGTCTAAATTTGTCTGGCATTCTTCTTGGCACTGCTTTGAACTACATGTTATAAACTTAATTATTTCCACCTACTTCCTCAAAATCAAATGCAAAATTAGCTATATATGCACACATACACACAAAAAATATATGTTTATAAATGCATATGTAATACAGGTCTCATTTGACACATCTTTTACCAAAGAAGTGCATATTATGTAGAAGAATATATAAAATGAAATAATTCATTTTTCTGCCTTCCAGTGTTCTTTGCAATTTCCAAACAATGTAAAGTCACTATAGACTTGCATGCCACCTTACCTTACAAAGGAACAGTTTAGCTATCTGAGGTTTGGTGATGGGCTAACTTTCAGCACTCTGCTTTCTGTTAAGAAAGGAGAAGATAAATCTCTACTTTAATGCAGAAAGTGATGTCTAACTTCTCTTAAACCAAGAATCCTGAGCCAGTTTACAGTGGATTTCCTCCTTCACCTTGCATAAGGAGAGGCCAAACGTAAAGGAAAAATACTCCATGACTGTGGCTTTTTCCTTTCTTTACTCCTTTCTTCTTTTCTTCCAGCTTGTCATGCATTCCTCACAGAATCACAGAATGGCCCAGGCTGGAAGGGACCTCAAGGATCATGAATCTTCGACCTCCCTGCCACAGGCAGGGCCACCAACCTCCACATTTAATACTAGACCAGGCTGCCCAGGGCCCCATCCAATCTGGCCTTGAACACCTCTGTGGATGGGGCATCCACAACCTCTCTGGGCAACCTGTTCCAGCACCTCACCACTCTCTCTGTAAAGAATTTCCCCCTGACATCCAACTAAATCTTCCCTTCTGCAACTTAAAACCATTTCCCCTTGTCCTGCTGTTATCTACCCTTTCATTCTTCACAGTCTCCTGCTCCTTCTTTTTCCTTCCTGTCTTTCTTTGGTTTTATTGAAGAGAGGAAGTACAGAATAATTCACTGGCTTCAGTCTCTTCAAAAGTGAAAAGCACATAACTTTGATCATGTGTATGAAGGCCTCTGAAATTCAAATCCAAGATTTTTAGATATTTGATATGTAAATATGAAACATGCATCATTCTCTGAATATGTTTTAAATCATTTATTTAAGGTGTATCTTCATACTGTATTTTCAGAATCATTCTTTACACATATAACAGATAAACTATATCCATGTTCACATAAAATTGTAAATGCACACTTCCGAAAATGAATATCATAATGTCCTATAAGCCTTAAGATTCTTTTTAAAATTTGCAGGAAAAATAAAGAAAGAGACAATTTTAAACGATCACCTCTTCTTCTCTAAAAGTATCTGTTGGTTTATGATTATACATTAATGCCTTTTTATTTTAATTATTTATACCAAACTCTCTATAAGATCTGAATAATGATTATGTGAAAACCTGGCTTCAATACAGTATATCTTTTATCCTTAGACTGAAAAATGAGGCATAAATAATAAAATTTCCTTAAAAATTGTACATTCATATCAGGATTTTACCTTAACTAAGAGTCTTATAAGGTGTTTTTAGGACATTTTTAATCACTTTGAATATTTGTTTGAACAGTGTATCACTATTCTTTTTTATTTCTTTGGATGTTTTTATTTCTGTGATGAAATGTACACTGCAGACATAGAATAGTCTTTATTTAGAACTCAACCTGAGCCAACAGGCTGAAACACATAATTCTTCCTCTACTCTACTCTTTTCTTTACTGTGTAGTAGTAACTAAAATTCTACTCCTAAAAGTGTCTCTATGTTTATGCTACAGGTGGCTGTGAAAAGGACTCTTAATATTTATTTAAAAAAGAAGGGAGCTGTTTGGTGCTAATATCAATAATCAGTTTTTTATTTTTTATTTTTTTTTTTTGTTTGTTTCATATCTAGTAGAAATACTATTTGAATGCTTTTGATTTATTGCTGGACTACTTTATCTCAGCAGATTATTCTCTGTTTTTTCCTACTGCTTATTTCAACAGAATAATTTTATGGAATTTTTATGGAATCCAGCTGGGCTGAATTACAGATCAGCCTAATGTGAGGACCAAGGGATAATTAGGTGCTAGATAAAAGCCCTTAAGTGCACATTAACCTAGTGAAGTGCTGGTGATGGCATCTTTGGTAGGATTTTTAGGTGTTTGTCCTCTAGGTGAAATCCAACAGAAATGTCTTTTTCCTAGGTATCCATAGCAAGTTAGTTACCGTAGAGGCTAAATATTTCTGAAAAATGCCTATATTTTCTTGAAATGGATAATTCACTTTTTGTTGTTTGTGTGTCTGTTATCTTTAGCTGAATGTGGAGCAACTGTCTCTGGAAATGAAGGAACACTGTTGTCTCCTAATTTTCCATCTAACTATGACAACAACCATGAATGTATCTATAAAATTGAAACAGAGGCTGGAAAAGGGATCCATCTTAGAGCAAGGAGCTTTCAGCTGCGTGAGGGAGACACTGTTAAGGTAAAAAGAAAATTATCTCACTTCTTGCTGTGCTCCACGTTCACATTATATGAATGACTCAACTTTCAATACTAACTGTTTTGTCCTTCTTTTTTTTTTTTTTTTTTTTTTTTTTTTTTTTTTTAAATATAGGAGATATTAAGTGTTCAACTGTATTTCTGGAAATAGTAGAGTATTTACACAGGATATAAATCTGAATAGAAAACCTAAAATGCATACTTAAATTTTGAAAGCTAAAGTGTGTTATTTTCAATGCGTGGTGATATTTGTAAATGTATTTCTGGGATTACTTTGAAGAAAGATGTTTTTTAATAATAGATAGGATATTTTTATTATTTGTCTTGTGCATAATAGGCAATTTTGGAAAAAACTATTTAATTTGCTCATTTGGATAGAAAGAAGCCAACCAATATATGTTATTGTAATTGTTTTAGGTACATGTATCTCTCTAGATGCCCTTTCCTGAGCAGGGAGTTGGACTAGATGACCTGTAATACTGACTAAAACTGTAGTTACGGAGGGTGGCTTACTTTCTTTTACTCTTACTTTGTAGGTAATTTTTGAAACATCCTAAATAACTGTGAATTTTGAAAATGTACTTTTCTACCATTTATTAATAATATTTTTAAATTTAAATAATGGCTGCCATATTCTTCTATGTAATGAAAACTGTGATATTCATCTGGAATGTTGAACATATACTAAAATAACTTTTTCAAGTTTGTCTCTAATTTTTCCAATTTAATTGATACTCAAATGACTGAATGCTCTTAATTCAGTTAATAATGACTGGGGATATCAGGATATCACAGCAACTCATTTAGCATGTTATTTCTGACCTAATCTTACTATTTTCATTTGTACTTTCCACAAATATTTTAAGATAACTGTATGATAAAGCAAATTTTTCTTGCCATGCTTTTATCTACTATTCCATCTCCTTATGTAAATGCATGACAACTTTAATTAATGCATTTCCTGCATTGTCTTTAATGCATTTCCTGCATTGTCCCTTTAACTACTGTCTTTACTAATACAGATATGTATATCTTTTTTTATTTGCTTGTTCTTTTTAGCAAGTACAGACTGGATTAAACTATGAAATATGCAAATCTTTAAAAATCTCAAACAGTATTCAAATATTATAGTTAAAACAACAGTGTTTTCTCCATCTTTACTCACAAATCACTGATAATAAAGGCCTCTATGCTTGTGTGGCTGTGCTGAATGTAGTGCTGCAGGATCTTTTCTTATGGCTTTCTTTTAGACCGAAGAGAACTGAGTAGGTAGGCAACGAATGTAGTCTATGCTGTTCTTTACTTCCACATTCCTTGATTTGGCACTGTAGATTCCATAAAACTCTGAATAGATGCAGCAGACACAGAAGAGCTTACTTAATTGACCACTGAGCAGCTTGGATACTGTACTTAAGTTTTTCAGAAACTTTACACATACTTAGTTCATAAATAATTTAGTAGACTGCCTGAACAACAGCAAGATCTTAGAAAACCCTAAGCCAACAATGAACTAACTCAGTTATCCTTCAGAACTTTTCACAAGTAATGACAAGAATACTTCGAGTTAGTCTCTGGGGATGTAAGGAGGAAGACCTAATAGTGAGAAAGCTGTTGTGGGCAATCTGTCATGTACTTTCTTCTTTCATAAATGCATAAGCACATTGCTTCTGAGGAAGCAAAGCAAGTAAAGAGTAAAGGCAAAATTGTTGCTATGTCTGAACTGGAAGGCCTGTTTTATATTTCTGAGGCAACTGGCATAGCACAACTCTATCCACACAAATAAACTCTCTCACCATAGCCTCTTTATAACCCTATCCAATTCCATGTCAGGATAGAGTTAGAACATAACTCTATAGAAGTCAGCCCTTGATCTATGAAAGCACTAGTATCTTAACTAGATATTACCTTGAAGACTTCCAATTGGAGCAGGCCAATATCTTGACTGAAAATGTGGTGAAGATTAAACTGAGCATATAGTTGACTGTTAATATTTGAGATTTTATCTTTTTTTTTTTTTTTTAATTTATATTCGTGACAGCCTGGCTAGTGTATCTTAGAGTTCAGATTTTATACACGTTTCTATGCAGCTTCTTATTTATTCTATGACATAAGAATAGGAAATAATTATCCTATTGAAGATATCTCTCTAGGCTGGAATGTTTTTTATAGTCTTGCAGTGCATCATGAGATTATATTCAGTGCTTGATTGTTACTAAGGAGAGATGCTTTGTAGTGATTTAAAATCTGCCAGATGAAAGCAGAGAATAATCTAGCAGCCTAGCATAGGATGCCAGCAAGAAGAATTTTGTTTTCCAGATCAGTACCAGTTGACTGAAATGTCCACCTGGCTTAGTATTGTTTCTCTAATAAAGATAATGGGAGATAGTATTTAGGTAAAATAAACTAGCCTGTCTGCTTGTCTGTGCTCCATTCCCTTATGTTCCCCTGCTATCCACAGTTGTTGCATAAAGTAAGATTACATTTTGCTGTCTGTTTCTTCATCATCTGTTATGAACATGTCTTTGAATTCAGGTAGCCATTTAAATCACTTGATATTGTGAACTCTTCTGTGACAATAAATTCTGAAATTTTACTTAGTACTGTGTAAAGAAGTGTGTGCATCTCCTCTGTACAGGAGAGATTGTGGTCCTCCTGGAGCACATCCAAAGGAGGACCACAAAAAATGTTTCCAGGTATGGAACACCTCCCCTCTGAGGACAGGCTGAGATAGCTGTGGCTGTTCAGTCTGGAGAAGAGAAGGCTCTGCGGCAACCTGATAGCAGCCTTTCAGTATCTATAAGAAAGAAGATGGGAGACTCTTCAGCTGTTTTGATAGGACAAGGGAAAATGATTTCAAAGTAACAGAGGGCAGTTTGGACAAATGGAAGAAGTTTTTTACAATAAGAGTGGTCAAAGTGGTCAAGTGTTCAAAGCAAAATTTTAAAAGCATTTTTGTTTGGGATGCCATAAAGTTCAGGAAAATATCAAAGTTGTATCAAAATTGTAAATATTTTTATTATCACAATGTGAAACTACAGTTTAAGGAAATCCAGTCAGTTTTTAGTTCTCCTTCAGGTGTTTTTACATTCTGTTAGCAAATGCACATACATTAACACCATTACTATGAGATTTTTCTTCACAAATAACAGTATCGTGATCCTCTTTCTTGCATGTTTTCACCCTAGCAGCTGCACGCACTTCTCTCTCATTTCCACACAAATGTTTAGGAGAAACAAAGCTTCCCTAGATGTCCTGGATACATTTATCTTAGTGCACTAAACGATGCTGTGATCATTTTCTACTGTCCCCTTGGCCAAGTTCCACAGTCTGAATACATCCATCAAATTAAACTCTTATGAAACAAGGTGGCTCACTTAAACCTCCTCTTGGAAATAGTCTCTGGCCTCTGCATCTTTTCTGTACCCTCAGAAAAGATTTGTGAGGGAGTTAGTAGGTCTGCATTAACTGTTTGCTGAAGGTGTCTTAACCATAAATATTGTGTGGACAATCAACTTGTGCCTGTACTCTGGCACTCTTTACTTGCTTTTAAAACATAAAACTAGCTTGAACTGCATATGTTTAACTGGGTCTGCTGTTGGCACAAGTACGAATTCTAAAAGTCACCTGAATGTTGAGGTTAAGTAGTATAGAGGGAATAAAAAACAATTTGCAAAGTATTTCTAACATCAGTAAGATTGCATGCATGTGAAGGGGTAAAGGTGAGTGATTTCAAGGAGAATGTACTGCAGAGTTAATGACTGTAAGTCATGGGTAAAGCTTTCTATAAATGTAGCAAAGCTTGAACTTGATTTAGGGGGATAGACGTCAGAGCTCAAGTAAAGAAAGAGAAACAATTTTGAAGTTTATAATTAAACAATATTTAGATCAGCTGATTATTTTAAAGCTTACCCTCTTACTCACTGATGTCTGAGCTTCCTGGTCTCTCTGTTTTAGCAATTTCTTGAAATACTTAATTCTTTAAACTAATTTTTTAACAGTAGAATCTCTGTCTCACTGCAATTTTTTTAGAGGCAACTGTAACACCAGAATATAATTTCATGTTTTTCAGCTCTTTGGACAATTATCTTCCTTTTTGCTTCATGACAGAGGAAAAAAGAGTATTTGGTAATTGGAGTATGTGAATTATATTTGAAATCAGTTATCCTACATGAATAAGGAACATGCACTACAGTAACAGTGTAAAAGTGTGTTAGTATGTTCCTGGTTCCAGAGACAATCACACATATCAGATCTCCTTCAAACACCAGAGCACAGGGGTTGTACACAAGATGCCTGCTGGAAGTAATCCTTGGCCCATACTAGTTGCTAAACCATGACCAAGAATTGTCTGGGAGAATGTTGGCTGGCTTGGAGTAAACCTTTTCCTGGGGCAATTAAAAAAAATTATTACAAAATCAATTATTTGTGTGGATGGTTGAGGTTTGATCCTTATATTTTTTGACCACTGGTCTCACATACTAGACCAGAAGCGTACATAATGTCTACAGTGTTAACAGCAGCCCTATCATTTGACTCCTTATATCTCATTTTTATTTCATAAAATGGCATTTTCATTTGTATCTTGATTAATCTTGACAGAGATTGATTTAACTTGCTGATAGTCAGATAACAAGAGTATCTGCAAAGTCAGTAGCATAGAACATCATTAGAGCACGATGTCTAAGGACAATCATAGTTATTAACTTATTTTTCTTTTAAAGATGAACATAAGTCCCATTTATGTTAGCACTATTTATTACTTTTAGAGAGTACTTACTATTAACGCCAATTAAAAGTCCATCTTTTCATTTAAACTAATAAATGAATCTCTGAAACCAAGTAAAATATATCTGTGTTTTCTGAATGTATAATGAGAATGGCATTCAAAAATCTTGGAGTGAATGTGTTGGGCTTTTTTTTATATACTAGATTTCCAGCTCTAATAAAGCATAATCAGGCAGTGAAAGAGTTCTGTAATTCTGGCCCTGGACAACAGTAGAGGTTTGGAGGCATTATTTTGATATTACTAGCACAGCTATGAATGGCAATGGTTTATCTACATGACCTAGTATAGGACAATTTTTGCCTTAGTTATAAAGAAGACATGTTGTTCTATGAATGAACAGTGCAATGTATTATTGTACAAAATCTTCTTTAAGGGAAAGTTCTTATTTATATATATTTATGAAACAAAAAAATTTGATTTTATCTTAAAAAAATCTTTGTGTGCATTATTTTTATTATTGTCAATAGCAGCATATATTATGAATGTCCTATTTTGGAAACATTCACTTATTGATGATACGATGGTATTTTCCTGGAAAATAGCTCTGCTTCTGAGTATTGGTAATTGTCTGTAAATGTTGCTGCAATGGTCTATCCTCTCCAAAGATGCATTTCTAGATTTTGTTTATACATGGAACTGGACATTCTAAAAGGAAAGTGTTTTCTGTAAATCAGATGCAGGAATTTAGGTTGTTAAATAAGTCACCACCTCCCTCTGGCTGGAATCAGGATAAATCCTCGTTATACCACAAGGTCTGAGAATGAAGAGATGAAGATCTAGAGCTTGATATTTCTTGCAGCTTTTGCATCAGATTTATCCGATTTCTTAAGGAAGTTGGCATTGAGGGTGAACTGTCTTTCTCTTCAAATTACAAACCAGAGAGTCACTTTCATTACTTTTGTAAAAATGTCCACATGATGAATTTTGGAAGTATGAAACACACTTTATATTTGCCTATTTTTAAAAAATGAAAAGTATAGGTGATTTTTATTTTTTTATAATTCAAGAAGAATTTATATTTTTTATTTTTAAATCTGTTTTTTTGTTTGTTTTTGTTTGTTTGTTTGTTTGTTTTTGACAAAAACAAAAAGCAACCAAAACCAACCAAATAAAAACAGAGGACTACTGGGGACATATTGATATATGTGATATATTGACTTAAATACCTCATTTCTGCTTTTTGATATCAGAGGGGAAAGAACAGAAATTATACTTCTGTTAGACTTTGTAAGTGATCATGAAAAAAATCTGAAGTTAAGAAACCTTGGAACATCTTAAAGGGTTACAGAATACTTTCTATTTTACTGAATGTTATAACAAAAAATATAATTTTTAGAATGGTATATACCTGCACAAGAAGTTTGCGATGCATAGCTAACTTTGAAGTGTTGTATAAAGTTTTTCAGATATGCAGATTCACATATTCCAATATGTCCAGTTTCATCCTATTATTTTGTTTCTTCAAGGTGTATGATGGAAAAGACAGTTCTTCTCGTTCTCTGGGAGCCTTCACCAAGAATGAAATGATGGGAGTTATTCTTAACAGTACCTCTAACCACCTGTGGATAGAATTTAATACCAATGGATCTGATACTGACCAAGGATTTCAGCTCACTTATACAAGTAAGTAGCTAACAAACATGGTCTGGTTGACACATATATTTGTACATTTGCATAGTGCACTTATTCCACAGTTTGAATGTAATTAATAACTAGCTTGTTTCCAATACAAACAAACATAAACCTTGCTGAGTCTGCACTGAATCTCTAAGTACCCTTTACCTTCAATTTATTGTCTTTTGCATCAGCTTTCATAAGCTGCTTGTGAATCCTTCAGAATGAATTATCTTACTTCAAATTGTCTTGTAATATTGAGAGGAGCTATGGCACAGAAATGGAATCATAGCTCTTTACATAAAACCTTGTGACTTCCCTTTGGATTAGAGTCAGTGATACAATAAGCAGAAATCATTCATTTTCCCTTCTGTTTTTCTGCTCTGCCCGGTAAATCTTATCATGCTACTCTTATTTATTTATTTATTTTTGTCAGAACTGAGAAGGAAAAGGTTACTTCAGCTATGAAATATCTCAAACTGATAATTCTCTTGAAAAGCATAAACAATATTTTACAGAGTCTTTTAACGGTGATGCTAACAAAATTCTATACCCAAGGAAGATCATTTTCCTATTTCTTCATAAGATTTTTCTTTTTTTTTAATTTCTTTTTTTAACCAAATACCTCATTTATATCATATGTGCTCATTTTGCAGAAATTCATATTGCAATATTTACCTATAATGAGATTTATTCCTATCTTCTCTAATATGAGAGGGTCCCACTTGTAAATACAGTGTAGATTTGTGAGATAGTGAATATCTAACTGGGTGATTATATTGATTGTAAAGACAATTTCATGTTATTTCTTAGCACTGTATCGCGAAGTGTTACACCATTTATATACTAATACAAGCATAAGATTTAATATTTTGAGATGCTTTAAAAATTGGCTGCAGTGCTGACTCTTATTCTTTGGGTAATCCAGACCATGCATTACTTTGAAGATTACTATACAAGAAATCATATTCATTATTAGATGGGATTTTTAAATTTTTATTATTATTATTATTTTTTTTACTTTTTTGGTGAAGCTCCTATGCAGTTACTAAACAAATGCATTCATGTTTGGTAAATACATCAAATGCAAAATGATAATTATCTCTTTGGATCAATCAAGTTGTAGTTCACAGCTGGAAGTACAGTTTCCCTGAGATACTTTAAAATTACTCAAAGAAAGATAAAAGATAAAGGGCTATTCAAATATGGTCTCACTGGAGATATAAGAAATATATATCTGGGATCAATTAAAGTGAATAATTAATATTGTTTATAAAGAACTAAAAAGAGTGCTAAAAAAAGTGATGGTGTAATGAATCTAGCATTAGATTAGTTCTGATTATTGCCTGGTTGCTCAGTTCTGAGTGCCTGCAAAAGCATAACAATTGCCTATAATTTTTTTTTTTATTATTTTTTATTTTTTTTTGTCTTTGTAGTGCTTTTCCTCCTATTAATGCTATCTAAAGTCAGATTAGTGTAGCCGTGAAGTTTGAATTTTGAAACAACTGCAACATGTTATTAAAAAGACTTATAGAAAGTTACTTGTGCAGAACTACTACAGTAATCTTTAAATATTTTTAATCTGGTGAATTCTGTGAATGATACTAAGTTTACAAATAGGAAAAAAAGCTAATGATCCAGAAGAACTAAAGTGACTTAAAGAAACTTATTCTATAAACTCAGAATCAGAGTAGTTTGTGTGAATTGTATAAATTAGAGTATAAGATCTTAAGAGGAAAATTAAGAAAGATTCAAGTTCTAATGGAGCGTGCAATGTAGGAGATTGCTTCAGGTTAAAAACAACAGTGAATGGAAAACAGAAATTATAGTTTTTTTTTTTTGTTTGTTTGTTTGTTTGTTGTTTTTCAATCCATAATAACAAGATAGTTTTAAGGAAATGAATTTATAGTGGACAGAGAAACTTTTTTGCTGTAACGGATAATGAAGAAATCTGTAATCTTTCTCAAGTATTTTAAGAGCTGTGAAATACCTTGTTTGTCTGAGGATTAAAGTGTATTTTAGGAAATTCCAATTCTTTTAATATGAGCAGTCATTTTAGTCTTAGGAAGGAAGCTGAAGTTGTACTAATTATTATTATTATTATTATTATTATTATTATTATTATTATTATTATTATTATTATTATTATTATTTCTTTGTCCTTTTAAGCAGAGCTTGCAGAGTTCTTTGCCTCATTCTTTGTGTGAAGGACTGGAGGAACTAAAAAGGACTTTTAAGATGGTTTTACATCTCTTAAAGTGGGCATTAATAGAAATCTGCATGAAAAAAAAAAAAAAAAAGTAGAAGTTTATACATGTTTTAACCACAGCATTCTATTGTGACTGCAAGTAATTTGAATGAACAAAAAAAATCCAATTCTTTTTTCATAAGTCCAGATAGATACATTGGGAGATTTTTCACATATTCTGGTATAAAAGTCACTGTTTTGTACTGTGAGGTAGTAGTATTTAACATTAAATTGACATGTAAGTTAAAGTGGCATCTTATTGATGCCTCACAGTGATGCATGGTAAAAGCAAAACACAGCTGTCCAGTAGAAATACCAGGCAACTTTAAATAAGGAGTGATGCAGTGCAGTCTCTGCATAACAAGCAGGACAGTTTCCCTGCAGTGTTTAACTACTCCACTGTCACAGCACTCACAAGAGGAATTTTAACACTGTGTTCACTCATCATGTGGAGAGCTTAACATAAGGAAGTTTTTGTCAGACATGCTTCCTTACTACTGCTGTTTAATCCTCATTCAGTGAACATAGTCTTGTCTTTTCTTGGTTAGTGGGGAAAACAAATACAGCCCTTCCACATTTTATCATACATACTGTACAGATGTACTCTGAGTTCTATATACTTCTGACTACTCTGCGCTCTGTATGGAGTTCTATAGTTCACAGAATACTCAGCACTATACTTCTGCAATGATCACTCTTAGCTCCTATGAAGATAACTTGTAGACTAATTTCACTTGCATCACATACAGTTGTACACAATTTCTGTTGATCAGTTGCTGTGTTGTTGGTTATCATTTAAAGACATTTCTGTCTTATGTACATGTTCAAAATTCCTAGCAAGTAATTAAAACATTAAGACAACATTTGTATCTCAAAAGGAAGACTGCAGCAAAGACAGTGTCTAACTCCTGTTCAAATCCTTGCTTTCTTTCTTCAGTAAAACACTTCTTTCCCTATTTTCCTGCAGAATTGAAGATAAAAGGCCCTTTCTCTTCCTAGCATTGGCTAGAGCTCTTAAAATTAATTTAATTGTGCCAGAAGCTGTTTATTTCTATGATACTATTCATCCAATCTATTCAGGAGTACCTCTGAGCTGTGATGTATAAGAAAGATTACCCTTGTGTAGAACTGCTCTTTTGACTTTATGCAGTCCTGGAGGGTTTTACCTAGTTCTATGTGTTGGCAGTAGCCTTTCTGAGATCATAGGAAGTTATCCAAACGTCTACTTTCTAAGGAGCAACTTATCTTTCTATGGCAATTTCATGGTTCCCCAGTTCTGTGCAGGATATAATAGAAGCAGAATATCTCCTAAATAAGCCTTGGACTTCACTGTACTGAGTCAGTGGAAGGATCCTGGAATACATACAGATACGATTTTTAGGAATGTGCCTACCTGCATTGGACCACTCAGCAGTACGTTTTACCTCACAGCAGAACTCGTGCATATTAAAGAAAAGTGCAGAATTAGTTCCAGACTTTAATAAAAGTCTGAAAAGCATTCAGAGATTTGTCAGATAGTCTGTACTTAGATTTTAACTTTGTAAAGCCCTTTCACTTCTCTGTTTCAGAAAATGTGTTATTGATTAAAAATGAAGTGTTATGTTAGTTGCCTTTTGTTTGTGTCCTCCTTTTTCTTATTTTGAGAAATTAGATGTTTCCCTGCAATTCTGTTCTAAGGTAGAAATGACAGCTGGAAAACAAAAATCAGTATGGATTCCTCTTTGCAAAATAACATTCTCAGTGTACACTCAGATCTTAACTAAATGTTACTGTCCATCAGTTTTGGATTCATGACCATTTCTCTCACTAAATGCAGAACTCTCGGAGAATGTCATTTCTATCAAATAGTGTGCAATATTCAGGCCCGTAAAGTATGTTCAACTCCACAGGATTTGCATTCTATCTAGTTTCCCTAAGGGAAAACAGGTTAAGAATTGTGTCTCTTTGTTGTTGTTGTTTTTTTGTTTGTTTGTTTGTTTGTTTGTTTGTTTGTTTGTTTGTTTTTAAGGTTTTCAGTGTCTTATTTGCATTTATTATACTCTACATCTAACAAGTATACTTTGTATTTTTTTAGTACTTTTTCATTTCATCCCAAGACAGTCTTTGCAGATAAAGAAGAAAAGTTTAAAGTATTATGTACTGACTTGTTATTTATCATAAGGATGTTTGATACTTTCCTTATTAGTAAAGGACCTCATGTGGGGAATGAACCACAACAAGAAACTGAAGGGAAAATCAGCTGCCTGATTCAGAACTCCATAATGAGTTATAACAGAAACTGTTAGTAAAATACAAACCACAAAAAATAAATCATTTGTAGAGTCAGGCTGGGCACATGACAGTAATAAAAGAAAAATCCCTTAATTTGTCAGTAGTTGAGAAAGATGAGTTCGTAACTGCTCTTTATAAAAAGCTTCAAAAACTGAATGTCAGTACAGAACATCTTTACATCTTGTCGCTACTATGCAGAAAAAAATGCAATAGAAGAAATATATAAATTTCTTCTGTATAATCTTATGTAGATGCCCAAAGTAAAACTGTCCATGCTAAGGACAGAGGAAACTTCCTTTCTCATATTAGCAGCTCAAAATGGGGACTACTTGTCAAAAACAAGTAGAGTATTAGTTATTCATTTGAAGCAGAGGAGAAGCTAAGGCTGTGTTATCTTGAATGAATAAATCAATTGTTGCATTTGCTTCCTTTTCACTATGGTCTGCTGGTATTGCTGTATAGGTTAGATAAAGAAGTAAAGTTCTCACGCTGTACCAAGTAAAGAATTGATACTGCTTCCTTTTCTCTGAATTCTCTTTTGGGATTGTGCAAATAATAAAATTTCTTCAGTGGAAAAATGTTGTAATCAATAGCATGAATAATTCTTGGTGTCTCAGTTTCTACTTTCTCCAAATTACATGTAATTTATCTTTGCTTGCTCTGGATTTATGTAATCTACCTGAATCCTGAGAGAATAATTTGAATCAAGACTAGAAAGCAATTCACTGGCATTATATTTTATTTGATATTTTATATTTATATGTTCTTTTTTCTTCTTTTCTTCTTTTCCTTTCCCACTTCTGTTTGCAGGTTTTGACCTCGTCAAGTGTGAAGATCCCGGGATACCAAATTATGGCTACAAGATCCGAGATGAAGGACATTTCATAGACACTGTCATTTTATACAGCTGTAATCCTGGCTATACAATGCACGGCAGTGGCATTATGACTTGCTTAAGCGGAGATAGGAGAGTATGGGACAAACCTCTACCTACTTGCATAGGTAATATGATTTGTTGTAGCGAAAGATCTCTTTGGTGTTTCAGGGAAAAAAAATAAAAATCTTTCTATACTTTCTATGATAATGAAATATACTATAAATACTTTACTTTCAAGTAACGATTTACCATGGATAACCAAATATTACTTTTCTGGTTCTGTAATAGATTGCTATGTAGCTGTGGCAGAAAACTTGGGCAACAATTCTGTCACTAGGCCAGTTTTTAATGTTTTTAAAGTTTTTATGATGAGGCTGTGCAGTGCTGAATCAAGTTTCTAAAACTGTTTCATTATAACCACCACAAACATTAAGGAAGCACTGGGTGAGACAAAGAAAACATCTAAACACCAGTATTGCTATTGCCCATTAGTACCTTTATTAGGCAGTTTTTCTCCTCCAGTTCAGATTTCTAGTCTACAATTACCAGTGACTTTCTGAGTTCAAGTTTCCAGATGATGTTCCCATGAGTTCTCAAGAAAGTCTTTCTTTTTGTGTGCTTTCTAATGCTTACCTTTTGAATCTGACACCTGGTACAGGTAAGCTACTGACTACTTCCAGCAAACTCAGCTGACTTGCTCGTTTCCCCTCTCCATCATTGTGTGCCAAATTTTCTATTCCAGGAGCTGCTTCCTTCTGAATACACTCACAGACCTGCAGTCCGAAAAAGAGCAAGTTTTCTTTCCTTTCAGAATTTTAGCTTACCCAGAGGATAACTGCTAGGAAAAAAAAAAAAAAAAAAAAGAAACAAAAAAACCCAAAACCATCAATGAAGAGCCTTTCTGCTCTTAGTAGAGATGTTATTATTCATACTTGGTTCTGGAACTGTTAATATATACATGTTTATATATGTGTGTTTGTGTGTGTGTGTGACAGTTCAAAATAATTTTCAAATTTGAATTAATAGACATTCCAGGCTTCTTATACATTCAAGTTCTCAAGCTTTTAAATTTAATTGAGTGGCATCCTTTTCATTAGTGTTTGCCCTTTTTAAGAGACTATTCTTAATTTGTCCTACCTTTGTCTATCTTCCCATTTAATTTAAATAAAATCATTACTCTAAGTTTGTTTTCTTGTGTTCATTTTCACCAACAACTAAGAACTCGAATGTTTCAAATTTATTAAGGAAATAAATTCATAAATCTACCCAATCCCCTTCCTTAGATTGATGATTTGTCTTCTAAACTATATTTGGGATGTTGAAGTCTCAACCATACAATATTTCCAAACAAAACAAGAACAAATTCTGTATATTGAAAGCTGACTTAGGAAAAGAAGAGGGGAAGTCTTCTAGAAAGCTCTTACCTTTGCTCTTGTAGAAGATCTTTGACAACTCTTCTCCAAAATATTTTTCACTAATGTGTGTGTTCTTTTTATGCTGAGAATTTTTATGCTGTGTTCTCTGCAATCCCTTATCTTTACCTTTATTTCCACTTCTCTTGATAACATTATACTTTTATGCTTCCATATTAAACTTATCATTGCTACTGTGTCTTTTTTTTTTTTTTTTTCTTTTTTTCATTATACTTCTACTTTGTACCTTGTATTCCTAGATTTCTTTTTGGCATATTGTTGCAAAGATTTTGGAATAATTTGTTCAAAAATCTTTCATTTCTTGAGTATCTAGCTTTATACCTACATTGATGGCCATTCAATGCTGACCATTCTCTCTGAAAGTCTTCTAAAAGTGAATCTTGCTAGAATGCCTTTCTTATCAGTCTATTAAATTCATTAAATAATTATCTTTCTTCCTACTGTTCTGTGTGAAGAAAAATTCATCGTGAAGATCCCTGGAAATTCAGCTAGGCTTCTGCAGGTCATTTCAATCTATTTACTTATTTATTTGTTTGTTTGTTTATTTCTTTATTTAATGAGGTGTACATAAGTGGTAATTTCTTTATTCAGTTTTGTGCCACGCTCTTTTCTCTCTTTCTTCCTTTATTTGAATGACTTACTTTTCATCTTTTTGATTAAATTGTCAAGAACTTTGAACGATCTCCCTCCTATTTAGGCACACTTCCATGTTTGTGCAGATCAATTTTATTTTATTTTATTTTTTCTGTATCTTAGATCAACATTTGCTGTTTACTGTTGGCTTCAGCAACATTTACATTCATCATTGTCTTTATAATTATTCCAGCCCATGTACGTAGTCAACATATTCTACACCTTTTCATCATTGATAATACACTGCTATATTGATTTAGCGTTCACTTTCATTTTCTTAAAAACAAAAATAAAAAAAATCCTATAATTCCTACTCTAGGACTTTTTATTTTTTTGAGTGCTTGTTCAATTCTGCTAGTTTTAGTTCTTTATATAATGCAGCATATTCTTTGATGTGGCGATTTTACTGTATGCTCATTTCCTTTCCTGTTTCAGAATCACTCTAGAAAATTTGCTTTTCATTTGCTTCTAAGTGTTGGGTTTTTTTTTTTTTGTGGTGGTGGTGTTTTTTTGTCACTGTTGTTTTGTTTTGTTAATTTTTTTCCAGGCAAACTATAGAGTTTAAATAATTCTGATTTCACTTGTTAATCTTCCACATAAGTTATTTGGTAAAGAAGTGTATCAATCATTTATTTACTTGCAGATTGCTGTCATGGCAAATATTACATTCTGAGGTTACATAATTAAAATTACTCGAAACCTTACAGGATAGTTATATTTGAAAAAAAAAAAAAAAAAAAAAAAAAAAAAGTTTTAGAGTAGTTTTCTGCTAGTGGTTCTTTTCAAAACAGCAGGATAGGTAAGTAAATCACTCGCCTTTTTTCTTCTAAATTTAATTTAATGCCCTGTAACAATTCGGTTGTCAGCAGTGACTCAGTGGCATGCATTGGACTTAGTATTTGTTAGGAGTTGTTGCTGATAAATTATTTGGTCCCACTGTAATGTTTGTTTCATTGTGTCTTACATTGTGATAGACAGTTATGCTTGAGTTGTTCCCTCCTGTAGTTTTTTTTTAATGCCACTACTTGTGAGGCAACTCTGTTTAGGGTAAGTAAGATAGGACTTCAGGAGCATTACTTTACTTAACTGGGGAGACACTCATTCTTTTTCTTTCAAAAGTACCTTACTGTTACAGGGTGTTCCTGTTTCATTAGGGCACAGCTTTACAGTAGGCACGCAATGGCACAGTGGTCTAAAAGAGCAAAGTAAGCATCATTTCATTCTGGATATTTTGCACTGCAATAGGTCTCTCCACAAATTTAAGATAGTTGTGATAATAAAAATGGTTAAAACCAGACACTTGATACTCTCAAATCATAGCTTTCTGATTTATTATCTTACTTGTTGGGAATATGGCATTTAAATTTGCAAATATCTAAGTAAAATATGAGGCAATACTTTACTGCTTTATGGTGTAATTAAACCAAAAGTTATTGGAGAAGTAAGTTGAAACTATTAAGCTGAAAGCAATTTGACGTTAGAACAAGAAGAAAGTGATTTTCATTACAAAGTGAAACTGTGTAAAATCTGTATTTCAGCATTCAATGTTATTTAGGAAATACAAACATATTCGGTGAGACATTTCTGAGACCTTCAAACTTTATGCTTTCTGCTGTCTTACTGATACTAAAATTGTGATTTTGTAATCTTCACTTTGAAGTACTCTTCCTTGTAAAACATCTTAATCACAGAAGTATGATTTATTGCTTTGCAACAAAGGAGGAATAGAATCATTGTAAGTGTATTTTTATCTTGTGTACATGTCCTAGTTTATTATATGCAGTATAATGCTACTTCAGAGATGTTGTTACCTGTTACTTTTTAGAAGATGCAGAAATGTGGAACAGAAAAAAAATGGAAATGCAAAATGTTATAGTCTTCAAATAATAATAATAATGCAATCCTTATTTATTTTGTAGCTGAGTGTGGTGGTCGAATTCATGCTGCTACATCGGGGCGCATTTTGTCCCCAGGTTACCCGGCACCATATGACAATAATCTTCATTGCACCTGGATAATAGAAGCAGATCCAGGAAAGACAATAAGGTATATGCTTAATTTCAGTATTTATTATTTATTTCAGTATTTTGTAAATTATAGTCTATGCCATACATTTTCATGCTTCCCCTCCCCTTTCCTCCTTCCCCCCTCCCCCCTCTTTTGTTTTTTTGTTTTGTTTTCTGTTTGTTTAACTCCTTCCTTTTTGCATTAATTAAATTGGTCCTTGTTATTGTGTCATTTAAGCGGACCATTCCTCCAGGAAACCTCAATGCCTAAACTGTACTGGGGATACCTGGGCATTTAATTTTTGACTGTGAATTCCTTTGAATAGTATGGAGTATAAATCATGGGTATGGCAGAGCTGTTATGCCTTTTTCTAACAGTAAACAAGCTAAAGTGTCATCTGTGGTTTCAAAATTCTTCCCTTAAGTCATTGTAATGTCACTTTTTTTTTTTTTTTATCTTACTGTCATATTCAGTGCAATAATTTGTTGTGAATAGAATATAATTATTCAGAGCTTTCTTGAATAAATTACCTCAAGCAATCCTAAATTGCCTGAGTCTCTGCCAGAAATGCTTGGACATCAGGCATCTTGGTCCTTGTTGATTATCTATTAGGATTTCACATGAAATTTGATGAGGTATTTACAATTAACAAGAGTATCAGAGAATATGAGCCCTGTAGAGCTTTTTAAACAACTCTGTAGTGTTTTCATTTCTTATTCCTGCCCTATTCCATAATATCATTATTAAGATATATAACATTTTGAAGTATATATCATATTTTTTACATAATCTGTTGAATAGTAAGACCAGCAGTATCTCAGAAGACCTTGAGAGTGAGCAAATTTAACAGAAATAATGAGACTTAGAAAAAGAAACAAGACTGAGGGAATGCTTAATAGATAATGGCTTATCCATACAGACCAGGCAGCGTAACAAAAAAGGGAAGAAATAATAATAAAAAAAAAACTACATCAAAATGAGGGAAACACAAGTGGTGAATAAAGTACAGAATAAAGGTAAATGCTAAAAACTGCATGAACATACCAAGAAAATAATCAAAACAGTTTCATTTCCATTATAATTTATGAAAAGATAATGGAAAGATTCAAGAACTTAGGCAGGAGAGAGGAGGTAATACAAGGTCTTCCACCTGATCACAGAAATGCCCTCTATCACTACGAGTTAGGGGATGAAAGAATTGAGCACTGCCCTACCAAAAAGGACCTGGGGGTATTGGTGACTGGGAAGCTGGACATGAGTCAGCGATGTGCCCTTATAGCACAGAAAGCCAACAGTATCTTGGGCTGCATCAAGAGAAGTAGGATCACCCTAGCCCTCTAGTCTGCTGATGAGTTCTCACCTGGAGTATTACATCCAGATGTGGAGTCCTCAGTACAGGGGAGATGTGGACCAGCTGGTGCATGTCTAGATGAGGGCCACAAAAATGATCCAAGGGCTGGAACACCTTCCCTTTGTGGACAGGCTGAGGGAGTTGGATCTGTTCAGTTTGGAGAAGAGAAGGATCTTACTTGTGACCTTTCAATATTTAAAGGAGGGCTATAAGAAAGAAGAGAACAAACTCTTTAGCTGGGTCAGTTATAATAGGACAAGGGAAAATGGTTTCAAACTAACAAAAAGGAGTTTTGAATTGGATATTAAAAAAAAAAAAAGAAAAAAAAAAAAAGATTTTTAGAATAAGGGTAGTGGAACATGGACTGGAACAAGCTGCCCAGAGAGGTGGTGGATGCCCCATCCTGGGAGACATCCAAGGTCAGGCTGGACAGGGTTCTGAGACTCCTGATCAAGCTGTAGTGTCCCTGTTCATTGCAGAGGAGTCGGACTACATGACCTTTAAAGGTCCATTCCAATTCAAATGATTCTATGGTTCTACTATTCTATTCTAAGTTTTCAAAGCAGTTTTTCTTTGTGAGTTCAGTACATTTATAAAAGTTATATATATAGCTAAATTGCTCAGAATTGAAGGAATGTGAATATCTAAAGATTCAGCTTGGTTATGCTGTAACAACACTAAAAACTATAGAATGTCAAGTTCTGCTTAATAAGTTAGTTTTTCCACTACTAACAGGAAGTTGCTGTGAATGCAAAAGTGTACAAAAATTTAACACATAATCAATATAGTACTAATTGTTGTAATTAAGAACAATTTTTGAGACTAACATAAGTAATGATATACAGCTGAGATATATTTCTTCACAATATTAGCTGTGTTTTATTTTGTGCAGAAAATTCACAAATAGTAAGGTGTTTCATTATTCATTTTATATGGACAATAGTTTGAACTGATCTTTTAAATGAAAATAATTTGTTTTTAAACTTAAGTCGACAAAACATTAGAAGTAAATGAGAAGTTATCTACTGGAAAGTATTTTTCTGTGTTTCCTTTTGATATTTAATAACCCCATTTCATTAAGCCATATAATTATTCAGCCTATCACAGGCAATTTTCATATATCATTTACATTTAAATGACAAATTAATAATTTCCAATTAATGACAAATGCAATGAAGAAGTATCAAAATACAACTCTTTAAAACAAACAAAAGTTGTTTTTGATGTTTAGCTGTTTAATTTCTTCAGTGTAAAAATACACAGTCAGAACTTTAAATCAATACAAAGATTCTGACAAATACCATAGCATTCTTAAAAATCTTTCCCAATCAGCTCACTCAACAGGAGAAATGGACAAGATATTCTAGGATAACCAGGCCTTCTTCAGTTTTGAAACATAAAGAGCATCTCTAAACCAAGAACAATTTGGGAATGATTGCTTTGAGTTTTGTGTAATTACATTTAATGAGTAATGTACAGGGCTTTTATTTTTTCTTTGCAGTCTGCATTTTATTGTTTTTGACACTGAAGTTGCTCATGACATCTTGAAGGTATGGGATGGGCCCATTGAGAGCAGTATATTGCTTAAAGAATGGAGCGGCTCAGCTCTTCCAGAGGATATTCACAGCACTTTCAACTCATTGACATTACAGTTTGACAGTGACTTCTTCATCAGCAAATCAGGCTTCTCCATCCAGTTTTCAAGTATGTAAATACTTTTGCATCTCAATATCAATAATTATTTACTACATTCGTATATATTATCCTTATACGCTTGACATTTTTTTTCTCATTTTACAGCTTCCTCAGTCTTTGCAAAAAGATTATATTATTTTAATTCTACATGCTTATGCAGAAAGTACAACTAGGGTGAATTATATTTGTTTTGTATCTGTAAGTTTTCTTATTTGTTCGTATATATTGAAATACCATACCCAGTATTATCTAATTAGATACTCTAATTACTCTAATTAGAGTAAGACACTTTATTTAAAATCCCTGTGAGTGCTGTCATTTAGAAGTAAAGGACACAAGTAAGCTTTCATTCATTATTTCTGAATAAGAAAATATACTTCAGGAGCTTACTGGAATTTAAATGAATTTAAATGATACCTATTTACTTTCTGAATGTTGTGTCCCAAACCATAGACACTTTAAGGAGTCCTAACATACCTAGTTAAAAGTACACAGGGTGAATTAAAATAGAGATATCACTAAAATTTCTGATTTGTTTGCAATACAATATGCTGCTGCAATACGTAAAAAATAACTTCTTTAAACTATTCCATGTTGTTTTACTATTATTTGTGGAAATGAAATGTGATTTTTTTTTCTTACTCATCTTAGCAAATATTTCATGTTACATTATGCAAAGAGGAAAAGGTATAATTTTATTTGTATATTTTGAAAGAAGGAAAATACTTGCTGACATGTTGCCAAATCAAATTCTTTGACCTTCAGTGATACTGCTAGTAAATATGAGATGATTTAAGGACTTAAGGGTGAAGAACTGATTTTGTCTCAGTATACTTGATGGATGTACTCATGATTTTGCTAGCATTTGCAGCATATGTCTTACTGGAATTAACTGGGATTAGTGGTGGAGAACTGAATGTGTCATCTCAAGTAAAGGGAAAATGATATTAAAGTTCCATTCACCCTGCTTGGCAAGTAGAATGTTCTACTTACTTTTTGATTGTAAGGAATGAAAAGTAGGGTTTAAGGAATATATAATGTAAATGTTAAAATATTTCATGTAAAAATGGGAGCTTAATTTATTTAGTCTCCTTGAGGCCATAAGTGGACCATGGTGGTCTTGATATGTAAAGGACTCAAGCTGATCAGAGTAAACTATGAATATGTGAGGATCTTTGTGTGCTTTAGTATTCATCATGTGTTCAACTGTATCTCTGTTTATCACAAAACTGCAAAGAATGTTGAAAATTCTCTGCAGTAGTAATTCCTAACATTATGCATAGAGTAATTCAGATAATGTAGATGTTTAATTACAAGTTCTATGACAGGAACTGCTTGAGTTTCGAGTCTCTTTGTTACTGTGTGATGGGTTTTCAGGTGATGCTTTTATTAATGAGCATATTGTATTTAATCTTAAATTACCAACCAAAACGTTATCTTCAAATGAATAATTCCTTGGAGAACCTTCAAGAATCTGGAATTTTTTATGCATGCAAATTCTGTACTGGATTGTGCCATTAGGATAAGTATCTATGTCAGTAAACATCCACTTACAGCATCATATGAAGGATATAGATATGAGAGTATCAAGTCAAATAAGCAGCTTAAAAACAAAGTATTGAATTGTTAGTCTTTGGTTGAGAATTTGTTTCACAGTACTGCAAGTTTTCTGGTTACTTTTATTCTATATGTTCAAGAATGCTATTATAGCATCTGCCTAAAAAACTTTTCAATGAAAATATGGTATGAAATAGATCAGAAAATAATTACCTATGAATTACTTACTGTTGATTGTATATCTAGTTACGCATGTTTTTAATGGAAAAATATAAATAGCTGCAGATCACAAAACATTTGAATGCTATTAAAAGTGCCTTTGTCTTGCCCACTCAGCTCAGCATGCAGAGCATGAGGACACGAACTGACAAGAGTGATTATGTTAATTGTAATCAGTCTAATGCTTTTCATTAAAACTTAATTACCATTTAATCATGCATAAAAGGACAAAAAAAAAAAAAAAAAATGGAGTTCACTGTACAAAATTGACCTTTACTCTAGGGGTTAAATACATTAAAACTATGTATTACAAGCCAGGGATGTCAACCAGCTTTCTTGTCATGATGCAGAAAGTGAACACAAGAAGGGTATAGACATATTTGATAATTGGCTTCCTTTTTCTGAAGACACATAGGTACTAGTAGCAAAAACTTCCCATCTAAGTCAGTGACTAAAATGAAGTTTTCTATCCTGGATTAATTCTCATCATACTTTCCGTAAAAAAAATTTCCCTTTGCCATCTAATCTAAATACCCTCTCTTTTAGTTTACAGCTGTTTCCCCTTTTCTATTACTATCTACCCATGTAAACTCTTGATTTCCCTCCTGTTGATAAGCTCTCCTTAAGTACTGAAGTGAGATCCTGCTGAAGCCTTCTCTTCTCCAGCTCTTTCAGCTTGTCTTTGAAAGAGAAATGCTTTAGCCCATTGATCATCCTCATGGCCCTAATAAACTGATGCATTTATAGTTCTTCAGCAGATTTTTGTAGATATTGCTCCTCAAAGCTAAAATGTAGCAAAAAGTTATTCTCACACTTCTTATGATGGAAAAACATTTTGTGGATGTCTCAAATTCAGACCCAACTGTTTTCTATGCCTACCTCTGTTTCTTTGGCATTGCCAGTTTCTCTTATGGTCTTCTGTAAGCATACACTTAAAGATCAATATAACTATGTGAACAGAAATATTACTTCTTTCTGCTAATACTGAAGAACAGGAAAAAAGGTCTGATATTTTATCAACTTTTTTTTCTAAATTTCTTTGTAATGTTTTTGAGTTATTGAAACAGCTTCAACCATTTATTTTGTTAAATAATAAATATTAAATGATGACATCTGTATGGTTGGTTTAGCCCAAATTTGTTTTTTTCTGTTGTTTGTTTGCTTTCTCAACATTATAGAATTTTCTTCGAGGTAAAAGTAGAGTTAAAAAATGAAGAAATTATTTCTGACTAAATCATTAGATTAACAAAACAAATAATCAATTATGTAATAAAGTAAGCAACTTATACCAATGAGTTAATTAGAACTATTATTTGGAAATTGTTGTTTCTGATGTTGACTTATCTGTTGATCTGATCTGTTGTTCATTGATTGCTGAGATAAATCTTAATTACTTGCTTAATAGTTCGACTTACATTTAAGTATAGACAGTTCAATGTCAGAATTTTCATTTTTGCGTTTCACTACAGAGAACTATAGAGAAAGGGAAGTTAGCAGTAAAATCCATTTTAAAAGAAATTTACATATGAAGAATCACATCTGTGCCTTACTATGTGCCCATGGAATTTTGAGTTCAAAGAAAAAAAAAAAAAAAAGCATTAAGATATCTTTAGTTAAAATACATCAATCAAGATTCTCTTTTATTTAAGTCTGTAACCTAATCATTCTTCATTGTTTAGTTTCCTCTTTTGCTTTCTTTGATGCTATAAATGTTCATTACATGCTTACAATAAGTCAGTTTAATTGGTATGGAAAATAATTTGTATCCATAATTTAATCCATAGCCTGGTTGAGGCATCCCAAGTCTCATGAAAAGTAGCAGCTCTTCACTTGGTTCCTGTACAACTAAAAAGAAATGAAGCTTTGGTTACTTGAGTTACCTACTTCAAACTTGCGGACTTTCATATTTCAGACTTAATAAAGGAGATGGAATTAGTATTTGGGTTTCTTTTTTTATTATGCTACTGGACGATGCAAGATAGTTATGTTTCATACCAGTTTGCTTAGTTGTTAGTGTGTATATTTTTATGTATACGTAGTATTCTTGTTTGAGACCAACCATTATTCTTTCACCTATGGAAGTGCTGGTTAGTCTGAAATTACTACAAATCCTATTGTCAGGAACAGATTTTTACACAAGTCTGATTTAGCAGCAATTTAGTTTTTATTAATTCTTTTACGGTAAGTCATGAGGATAGTTTGTATGATTCTTAGTAGCATTCAATCAGCACTTAATCATCAGACAATTTAACACAATTGTTCAACAGAATTTACTTACTATAATCAAATACAATGGCTTAGTTAGATTCAGGAACGGGGGAGGCTTCTAAACACAGCTGGGTGTTTGATAATCTTTTCCTCCAGTATTGAGCTGCTGCTCATCTCATTTAGGATTGCCTTTGATAGGATCATGAGATTATTCATTTTTATCAGTAATTTTCCATGATTCAGATCTTTTTCTGTTGTTTTTGGGGGCAATGATTCAGTTTTGTACTACTCCTTCCTCTTTCCCTCATAGTACATAATCATACCTTCATCAGTTAGCCATGTTACATGAGATCTGGCTATGGCCAAGGGAGGCCTAATTGTCCCAGGTCTATATGTACAGATAGCAGAGGGATGATACATTGTTATGCTCCAACACACTGATAGATAAAAGACAAATTATGTTCTGATGGCTCTTCCCAGAATCATAAATCAGACATATAGATTACAAAGGCAAGAGCTGCTCCATCGCACCTATGTACAATGTCTTGACTTTGATATGCCAAAATCCTTCTCAAATCTGTTGTGCAAGTTCTTCTGTCAAAACATGTAAAGACTGTGCATTGCCTGTAACTTACAATCCTAGCACTTGAAAAGTCTTCATAGATATTATAACCATATGAAGTAAAAAAGAAAAGGATGTATTTAGCAAAATACTGCAACAAATGTTTACATGATTGTTTACCACAGGCAGAGTGCAAACAATATGGAGGAAGGTGATTGTTTTTTTGTGTGGTTTTGTTTGTTTGTTTGTTTTTGTACAACACATTGCAGGCAAAACAAACTGATAAAAGGTGAAGTGTCCTTCAGATGAAAGATAAATTAGGCACAACTCTAGCATATTGATCACAAGGCTATAGACGCAAAGATATACAGCGAATCATGTTCTCAAAGACAGTATGGTATTGATTTTCAGTGATGTTTTAAATCAACTTTGAAAAGGCAGTTTGGAGGCTAAATCCAAAATA